GATAGCAGCTCCATTCACAATTCAATCTATATGTGTATATATATTGCCCAGAACGGTATAGAATACATTAAGTATTAGTTTACTTTCTATTTCTCTGCCTTCCTAAAAAGCTACCCAAACTACAAGGTTAAATCTGAGTGACACTGTGTCCCAGCATTCGTGTTACCTTCCTAAGGCAGTTAAGACACTTGAAGGGAGTAAGCAAACTGGTGACATCGAGCCCAGTGCTTGGAGTGACAGCTGCTTCCTTGCTAAGACCTGGCTGTGTGTCCCCATTCAGCTGCAGGCAGGCGCCAGTCCAGCCCCGGCGTTTCCTGTGTCAGTCACACTCAACCTTGTTCTAGCTGCCAAATCCTTATATGCTGGGGCTTTAGAAGACAAAAAGGGATAGTTGAGCCTGGGGAGAGCTGAGACAGCTGTTGTGAAAAACCCAGGAGCCTCAGTGCTTTCCAAAAGTGCACATGTTCCTGCAGGGCCGCAGTGCTGCTGTGAGAATACCAATTTGTAAATCACACTGCAGAAGTGACAGTTGTTCCACTATTCTTCCTGGTTTCCTTTCTCCAGAGGCCTTCTGCCTTTGACTCAAAGGTCTGTTGGCCTTTCCTTTTGCTGTGTTCTTGAGAAGCTCAATAAAATAAGTTTCTAGTATAGAAGGATTATAAGTAAACTTTCTTCTTATAAACAAAATTCCATAATTGCTACTACAATGTCTATGAAATAGCAAAAAATGTTAAAAACACTGGTACATTTATAAGAAGTAGAAGGAGAAATCTAAAGAATAAAAGGAAGGAGTAAGTTGGTGGCCCATTTCTTGGTGTTTTTTGGCTGAACACGGATCCACATATCCCACATTTCCAAGGAAAATTTCTCAACCTGTCACCATCTAGTTGTGGTATGCACTAATCTGAGGATTTATGCTTCCTAGGGGACCCAAAGTTGAGATTTCAAATATAACCCAATTCTAGTAAACATTCAAATGCCAAAAGACTTCCTACTTGTCTCTAAGTAGGCTTGCCTACTTATTTGGCAATGCTCAACTAAACTACAGAAGGGAGTTTATCTTGAGCATTCATTGGAAATCTTAACCAAGAAACCAGAGGGTGTTAAGCTTGGGTCTTACCCTAAAAAAGTGTTCCAAGTAAAAATATCTTTACACAAAATAGCATTTTAAATATACAATGTTCAGCAAGAGAAAATTGTGTTAGTTGGGGTTCGCCAAAGAAATAGAATCAATAAGTTATGTATATACAGAGAGATTTATTTTAAGGAATTGGCTCTTACACTGTGGGAGCTGGCAAGTTTAAAATCTGCTGGGCAGGCTCAAGACCAATTGGAAGGCTAGACCCAGAGAATACCTGAAATTGTGGTCTCAAGTCCAAGGTGGAGCTCTTTCCTCAGGAACCTCAAGTCTTTTCTCATAAAACCTTTAACTGATTAGATGAAGCACACCCACACTATGGAGGTAATCTGCTTTATTCAGAGTCTATGATTTGAATGCTAATAACATTTAAAAAATATTTTCATAGAAACTTTTGGATTGGTGTTTGACCAAAGACTGGGTACCATAACAGCCAAGTTAACACAAAATTAACTATCACAAGCATGTAACCAGTTGAGTCTGAATATTTGTATGATTTCTTATAAAGGAAATTTTAAATGAAGAATCCTTTGAATACCAATCACTATACGATTTGTTTGTTTTGTTGATTGGTTGGTTTTTGGTGGGACTCGGGTTTGAACTCATGGCTTTGTGCTTGCAAAGCAGGAGCTGTGCTGCTCAAGCCACACCTCTGGTCTCCTATGCCGTTTTTAACAATGCTAACCCTCTGTCCATGGGTCTCACATTAAGGCTTTAAAAAACAGTGGTATGTCAGTCACCCACTGATCTTTAAGTGGCTCTTGGATGGTAAGATTGTTGAGTGAGATCAAGAAATTTCTTTGTTTCTGTCAGACTGACAAAGTCAACAAGTGTTGTTAATTTCTTTCTCAACACTGTACTAACCACGTATCTACAACTTTTCCAGGAATTCTTAATTTTTTTCCTTGGGCAGGGGAAGTAGGTAGTACATTAGCCTTTGCAGGCCATCTGATCCCGGCAGAAACTCCTATACTTGGCTATTATAGCATAAAAGCAACTATTGCCCTATGTAAATGAAGGGTATAGATGTGTTCCAATAAAAGTTTATGAACACTGAAATTTGAAGTTGATATTATTACTTTTAATCAAAAGACTACTTTTAAACAGATTTAAATTTGCAAAAACATTAAACAGGAAGAACATAGTTTCCAGATACCAACTCACAGCATTTTCCTTATTCCTAGTTTCTTCTATCAGGAACATCTTGCATCACTGTGATACAATTGTTATACTTTATGAGCCAATGTTGAAACTTTATTATTAACTGAACTCCATAGTTCACTCTTTGTTATTTTGTTCATTCCATGAGTTTTGATATCGTGTAATGACATTTGTACCCGCTCTAATGGTAGCCTATGAAAGATTTCTACTGCTTTAAATATTCCTCATTCCTTCCCCTGAGACTCTGACAACCACTGATCTTTTTTTTACTATTCCCATACTTTGTGTTTTCCCAAATGTCACACAGGTGAAATCTGGCAGCACATAGCCTTTTCAGTTTGTCTTCTTTCACTTAGTAACACACATTAGGTTCTTCCATGTCATTTCATGATTTCATATCTTACTTCTTTTTATCATGAACGATATTCCGTTGTACAGATGCACCACAGTTTATCCATGCCTACGGAAGAGCGTAACGTTGCAAGGGAGAGTAATTTAAGATTTCTGCCTAGGTTTAGAAGCACACTAGCTGTACGTCCCTGAGTAAGTCATTTAACTCCTCATGTTCTTTGTCTCATTTTCTTTCTGTAACGATAACAACACCTACATCATAGAGTTATTATGAGGATAAAATTAATTATTATGTCTAAAGCACTTAGGGCAGTGCCTGACCATAATAAAGGCTATATGCATGTTTGTTATCTTTATTAATTTTAACACAGCTCTGTTTATCCTTTTATGACAGAGGAAACTGAGGCTCACGGAGATTAAGTCAATTACCGGAGATGGCAGAGCTTGAAACCAAACTCAGATTTATCCCCCAGCAATGTTTTCTTCTTAGAACATGACTGGGCCTGCTCAATGCTATTGAATTCCCTCTTCTGCTTGCCAGCTTAGCATTCATTTTATCAGCCCTTATTTGTTCTGACAAGGGTGAAATCCTAGATGACTGAGGCTCTGTGTTTAATCCCCTATTCCACTCATCTCTGGACAAAGGCCAATGAACAACATGTGGGGAGGGGGGGGGGTCAGTGAAAGAAGCTACTCCTGTCTTACATTCCCCTTTATGCAGGACATAATTATAAAATAAATGTTCTCATAAACAGGACTGTTATCATGGTCTGGTGGATTTATGGGTGAAGATGGGTTCATATGGCAGTGATGCGCAACAGAAATATAACAGGACTGATAAATGTAATATAAAAATTTCTAAGAGCTACATTAAAAAAGTGAAAAAGTTTTTTTTTTCTGGTATTGGGGCTTCAACTCAGGGCTTTCACCTTGAGCCACTGCACCCGCCTGATTTTTTTTTTGTGATAGGGCTTTTAGCGATAGGGTCTCACTATTTGCCGGGGTTGGCTTCGAACCCAAGATCCTTCTGATCTCTGCTTCCTGAGTAGCTAGGATTTACAGGCGTGAGCCACCGGCACCCGGCTAATTTCAAAATAATATTTAGCCAAAATATCTCAAACTAGAGTCAATATAAGTTTATTAAGGAGGTATTTTACTTTTTTTGTATTACTTGTTAAATCTATTATGTGTTTTACACACACAGTCCGAGAACTACTTATGTGACTCCCAGCCAGACTCTTGGATTCATGTCATCGAAGGACCTATTTTATTCATTTAGAGACTTTATACGTTTAAAACTGTCCCCTGCTTTCCTTTTCTTCATTCAATGGCAGATACCCTGATGGGGGAAAAAACATGGCTGAGTGAGTAAAGAAATCGCCTTTTCTCCGCATCTCTCCAGACTAGCATAAGCTTTGCAGGCAGCTGAGATTCCTTGTGTGGTCACAAAGTCAGTCTGCAGGATCTGCGCTTCTCACCACGTAGGGTCAGGCATGATGGCGGAGGGTCTTCTCGGTTCTAGGACTCAAGCCTCCTCTCGGACCCTGTGTCTGAACCGGGACGGTGTGGCCTCCACGGATCGCAGCATCCTCGAAGGGACAGAGCCTTTGGCAGGGCTCGGATTTCCTGGACCGGATGGCAGGCGGGAGCCGGAGCGAGCCCCGCGCGGCGCGGGTCCCGCACAGGACGCGCGGCGGGCGAGCGCATCCCCAGCATCCGCCCTCGCTCGGCGCCGCGCGGCTGCTGCAGATCCGCCCGGGCCGCGCGGCCCCCTCCCCGGCCGGGAAACGCCGGGGTTCTCCCCGCCCCGGCCGGCGTCTTCCCCTGGCGGAGGCCCGGGGCGGAGTCGCCCACCTGTCATCCGAGACGCCGCCCGTGCTCGGCCAAGGGAGGGGTTGAAGGGAGGGAGAAAAGGCCGGGGCGTCGAGGGGGGCTGGAGAGAGAGAAGACAGAGGAACAGAGGAGAGGAGAGGAGAGGGGACTCTCACCAAGGCCGAGGGAGCGGGAGCCAAGAGCGGAACAAAGAACAAAGAGGACCGGAGACACCTAGAGAGCTAGGTAAGGCGGGCAGGTGAGAGGAAGGAGGCAAGGACCAGGCTAGAGTGGAGAAAGAAGCGAGGAAAGAGCTGCGGACAAAGGACGAGGGAAGATGAAAAGAACCGTAGAAGGACAACGATTCTAGGGAAGACTAAATGCCTTGCGACAAGGGGCGGGGGTGGGGTGGGGGGCGGGGAAGAACTGAGGCCCTTAGGCCTTTAAGGTTGTCAGGGCAACGGCTCTGGCCAGAGCGAGGCGCATTGACGTCAGCAGCCGAGCTCTGATTGGCTGCGACCGGGTCGTTTCCGGTGGAGCCGCTGCCCAGCCGCTATCGCAGAGTGGAGCGGGGCTGCGAGCGAAGCTCTGAGGAAGCTCGGTCTTACCGCAGCCTCGCACCTGCAGCCCCGCGACCCCGCCGCCCACCTCAGGTGAGTGGGGTCTGTTGGGGGCCCCGGTACAGTGAGCTTCGTCGTGCCACCTTCCGTTTGGGGGCGCTGGACCGATTCAAGATGGCGTCACGGGGAGCGATCTGCAAGGGGGATGGCCGCACCCCCTACCCCTGGCGGGCTTGGCGGCGCCTCCCCGCAGACCTCACTCCCTGACCCGGAGGCAGCGCCCCTGAAATCCCCAGACCACGGGGGAAACGCTCGGATGCGGGGCGCCCCGCCCCCACCTCCCCCACCTCCCCCCACCTCCCCCCACCCCACCGCGCAGCGCTCGGCCCCGGCCCTCCGCGTCCCCGCCGCCTCCGCCCCCGCGCGCCGCTGCCGCGTCGCTCGCCCTCCCCCCGTATTTCCTGAAGGACAGCTGCCCGGCTTCTTACCGGACTCCGCCATCGTTTGCCCCGCCGGTTCTGTCCGATTTTGGGGCCTGGCAGTAATTGTCTGCACTCCTGTCCCCCCTCCCCCTTGTCCTTTCCAGCAATCGGTTTTCTGTCTCTTGGAGGGATTGTTTTTCTCTCCAGCCGCGCACGGTGATCTTAGTCTAGCTCTTCATTTCCTTGTGTCCCCTTTCATTTCTCGATTTTATGTTTATTTTATTATTTTTTTTAACTAACTCCCTTGGAGCCCGCGAGGCCTTCCTACTGGCGCAGGATGAGGGGCGGCTTCCTGCCTTTGGTGGTCATGACCGTGGCCTGCGTGAAGTGAAGGGCACTTTCCTGCCCTTCCTCCCGAAAATACGCGGTGCCCGGTAACCCCCCAGTTCGGTGCGTGTGTGGGGTCAGCCGCCTGCCCGCTGTACTTGGGGCGTCAGTTGTCCGGAGATCAAGGGAAAAAAGCTCGCCCTTCCTCAAGACCACCCCAAGGCAGGGGTCTTGACAGGCTTCAGGGGGTGGGGCACAGTCCCCCCAGTGTTTAAAATGCTGCTTCTGATGTAATCCTTCTGAAAGCGACTTTTTATCACAGCCTTGCAAGAAAGAATCTGCGTGTTTTCTTACGAATAGAGATAATGCAGTGACAGTTCTAAAGTAGTCAAGTAATTTGGGGCGCAAGCAAGTTGTTGGGCTCCTTTGAAAATAACTGCAAATGTAGCGTTAATCCAGGTGTACTCTAACTGAAATTTGACTATTCAGGTACTCACGTGGTGGATTGTATTAATCTTGGGGAAATTTTGTTCTGATACTCCTTACCAGTGTCGTCATTTTGGGCTTTGTAATACATTCATTTGTTTCCAACAACCATTTTCATCTTAGGCCCACTTTTGGCATCTTTACTAGTCAAAGACCTGGTGTTAGAATAATTTCTCTGGTCAGTTGAATACATGTGTTGCTATTCCTCAAATATGACCCAACGTTTTGAAGCATAAAAGATCTGATTCGTCATTGTTCCTGGTTGCCTTTAGTATGATTTGAAATGCAGAAAATTCTGAGGTGAATTTTCGTTTCATAATGATTGCCTGACCCGGAAGAGTGGCTAGTATAAATGTATCCCACAGTAAATGAATTTTAATGTTTAATGTTTCTTTCTAAAGTAGCAGGACTATTTTTCTGTGGTTTGTCAGGGAGCCACAGGCTTTCTCATGGTCTGTTAATTACTCTGTTGTTAGTGACCTTTATCATGAAAGTTGTCAAAACAAAATGAGTAACAGTGTAGCATTTTAGCTCTTTTGCTCTTGTATTTCTTTTAAATTTATAGTTTTATCTTCGTGGTTTTGTGTGTATTATAATTTGAAAAATGAGTATTGAATTCAGTTACAGAATGGAGGTGATGTCTTCTCTAATCATAACTGCTTAGTAATTAGGAGTTGGAAGGAAAACTGTATGAATGACTGGTAAATTACTAAGTTTTTAATTCTGGCGTAGGATTTATTGCCCATTATTATATTTTTATTTAACGTCATGATAGTCCTCTAAATCTGTTAAATAAATGTGTTTTCTCTATTAAATCATTTAAGCTTAAATATGTTAAAAACATATTCCTGTCCAGATGAAGAAAATGTTTTTGACAGTGTTCTCTCCAGATTTTTTACAGTTTACTTGGTAGGGATTAAACAATTTTTTTCCCTATACTAAGAATTTTCCCTTTTTTACCAGTGGTAAGTGTATTATAATTTAGGGCTAGAGTCTGTTAAAAGATTCCAAGATAGAATGTTGCTTTTAAAACTCATCTGAGGTTCCTTTTGTGTTTCAAAAAATTTTGGTTACACTAATAGCTGTCTAATCAGCTCCTTTGCTCTGTGGTTTGCTGTATGACATTAGGACACACCCATGGGATAGGAGCGACACAAAGGGAATGTCAGATGTTCTTCACTGTGCTCTTAGCTTTCACTTAGAGCTGACTTATGTGCCCTTGTAATTCTCTGTCCTGTTTACCATTTACACATTTCCCACATCATCATGATCTCTTTTGCAAGAGAGAGCTGAATCCCTTGAGTCCTGAGCAGCCTGCCTCTGCAGGGGATACCCTGGCTCCTGCTTTCTCCCAGGAGCTGAGGATATTCTCTCATTTTTGCATACAGAGCTCATATTGTAGAGCAGGAACTAAATCCCAGTCCGCACCTCCCTGTTTAAAGACAAAATCTATTTAGTGAGAAAAAAATTCTCTGAATCTGTTGTCTAATGAGTAAGTCGAAGGCTGAATTGGTATTTGTGTTCATAAATAGTTTGCACAAGCATGTGTATGTTTTCTCTTGCAGAGAACCATGGCGTCTGGCAATACTCCTGCCAGTGAGGAGGAGCGCAGCCTCCGGGAATGTGAACTCTACGTCCAGAAACACAACATTCAGGCACTGCTCAAGGATTCTATTGTGCAGTTGTGCACCGCTCGACCAGAGAGACCCATGGCCTTCCTTAGGGAGTACTTTGAGAGGTTGGAGAAGGTAAAAATAAATATGGGGAGATGATGCGATGACCCTGACAGTTGTTAAATATAAGGCTTTAGTGTGTTGCTAATTTGTACCTTTTGGAAGAAAAGGAATTCTGACCAAAGAAGTCTAAAACAGATATTCAAATTAGAAATGTAGTTAAGGTATTTGTAGTTCTTTAAGAATTTATAATCAGTAGAATTCATTAGAAAATAAATCTTTATTTTTAGTTTACTTGTCAAATAAAGGGTTTCCAAACATGGTTCCTTGTAACTGTTTTAATTTGTTCATAAAACTCACTTGTAACTGATAGAACCAACCAAAAGTAATAACAGTTGTATGAAATGAGATTCTATAGTACTTGAAAGCAGTTAATGCTTTTCTTCAACAAAGCAAGTAATTAAACCTTATCCTATCTTTTAAAACTAGTGTAATAAAATATTTGATTCTAGCTTGTAACTGATATATCAGAAATTCTGAATTAATGGTCTGTTTTACTATGAGAGTATGTTTTAGATGCATTAAATATAGAATGAAAATACAGGATTGATGATTGTCTAAATTTTACTCTGATTTATACTTTTGGTTAGGATTTGTTTCTCCTGGAAAAAAATTAATCTGGTTTTTATTCTTTCTTGTTCACCTGCATTGTGTGTATGTCAGTGTGACCTACATACATGGTATATGCTTTTCTAAGCAAAATGATTTTGCATTTAGGACCAGTGCTTCAATGTACTTCCCTCAAGAAATAATGAAGGAAAGAGTCTGGGTCACCAAATGTTTTAAGTACTTTATTTGATTTACTTCTGTAAATCAGTGGAATAAATTTATAGGCTTTCTTGTGCATCTTGAAGTTTTGAAGTGGTTCATAATGATCATGAGCCAATTGGGACTCATTTCTTTGATAAGTCGTCATAGGTTAGCAATGTATGATAGAAATATTTGCACTATTTCCTATAACTTTTAGCAGTTTCTTACCAGCTTAACTTTTCAGTGACAGCATTTATACACTAAGATTTGAAACATGTTTGGATAGCTTTGTGAACAAATATTTCTGTTACTTCCTTGGAAACTTAGAACTGGTGTTTAGTATTACAATTAGAATAATTAAAACAAAACAAAACCAGAACTACTAACCAGTCCCTGTGAATTTAGCTTTGCTATCTTGGAATTGTAGTAGAAATTCTAGCTTTCTCATTTAAACAGTTTCTAAATAATGGAAGTACTGGCTACAAGTGTTCCCTGTTTTGAAATCAAGTGCGTTCCTGGAGATCTTGTTCTGAAATGGGTCACTGTAAGGTGATCCCTCTTCTTTGGACATCAATAGAAATCATCAAATGAGGGGATTAAGCTGGTGAGACATGAAGTGTGTATCTTTTTATAGGGAGTGTTGAATGTGTGGTGCTAGTTTCAAAGCCTGTATTTACCAAAGGACTGTTCGAGGACTAACCATGGTGGAAAGAAAGAAATAATTATTAAGGTAGTTTCTTTGCAGATGGGATTTTAGATATAAAGTGTATCAGCATTTTTTTTTTTCATTTCTCAACAAAAGTTACAGCTTAAGACACTTTCCTATAATTCAAGCTTTATTCACTTGAATACACATTTTTTTTCATGGTACTGGTGTTTGAACTCAGAGCCTCCTGCTTGCTAGGCAGGTGCTCTGCCACTTGAGCCACTCAGCCAGCCCCTGCAAACACTTCTTTAGCCAGGATTTGAAATACATATACATATATAAATGGGCATTCAATAACTAGATTTTTGGCTTTTTAACAGGCTAGCCTCCATATATTGTTAGTTCATTTCTCTAAAATAACACTGTCACATTTTCACCACCTGCTTCCCTATTACACAGGTTATATTTCTGGAAACTTTTATCTACTCCATAAGAAATACACTAGGAAAATCAGAGTTGGTCCACTGAAAGCTTCTGAATTCAAACCATTGTCTGGAATTGGAATCTTCTTTTATGCATGTATTTATTAGAACCTTGCCTGTGTGATAGGTAAGAGGAATTATAGTAGCTACTGATGTTTGAGTATCTCCTATAGCCCAGGTAATGGTGTGAAGCATTTACATACATACGTACTCACTATTTCAGATGTGTGAGATAGATGAATATCACCATTTTATAGAGATAGCAGATGAAACTATGGGAAGTTGAATAAATTGGCTGTGGTCATACAGTATAGTAGTCAGCTGTTGCTGCATCAACATATCCCATATTTCAGTGGCTTACTACAACAATCTGCATTTCTTCCTCATGTGCAGCTAGCTCTTCTGGGGTCAGCCCATCTTGTTTTCTTCACCCTTGAGTAGAAGGAGCAGCCAACAATTTAGGGCATGCTGTTCTCCAGGCAGAGAAAGTACAGAAGTCCAAGGCAGGCAGGCAGAGCCAAAGCACACTAGTGTGCAGAGTATGGCCTGCTTACATTCCATGACCAAAGCAAGCGATGGCCGAGCCACCGTCAGTTGGGATGGGAAGTGTACTTCACCTACAGAGAATAGAACAGCAAAGGCAGGGAGGGAACAAATAAGCATGAAGACATGAAGAAGGTGGTGGAGGCAGAATTGAGAGTCAAGAACATACAAAGCACAATTTAGTGCAGAACATAATGCAGAAGAGTCAGAATTACTAACCATTAAGTAGCTGGGGGACTGACAGCTGAGTGACAACAGTAAGAGTAAGGATATAAAAATATGTAAGCACATAGTAGATTTTGATGAGGTCAGTAATGGCTCTGGGTTGTCAAGATTAGGTTAGTTGTCAAGATTCAGATAGTACTATTGCAGACTCACTATGAGACAGTGTTAAACCAGAATGCTTTTGTTGCTTCAGAATTATCTTAAAAATTCAATATATTAGAATACATCCCCTAATGAGTTGTCACTTGTGAATTTCCTCTGAAATTTGTGTGAAGTGTCAATCAATGGGGGTAGAATTTGTGTTTTCCTGTTAAACTAGAGTTTTATAGGTCTGTGTTAATATGGAATAGGAGACCCTGGGCTAGTTTGTTGGAACTACCAGAATGAAAATGAAGTGAATTTTCTAAAAAAAATTTATTTTAAAATAAGTTACACATTCACACATGGTTCAGAATTGTGCAAATACTCCATTGCCGTCATTGGATATAGTCGGTGTTCTGGAGATAACATGGGCATTTATAAATTTATATGTCAAAGAGGTTCCTATTAATTTTTTTTTTGCTATATTTTCTAATATAAACATGACATTCCATTATATGAATGCACTGTAATCATCCCTAATGGTCATCAGTTTGGCTGATCGTTTTCAGTGTTTCACTTTTTTTTTGTTGTTGTTTTTGAGTCAGAGTCTTGTATGGAGCACATGCTAGCTTCAGAGTCATGATCCTCTTGCCCCACTCAGGAGAGTGCTGGGATCATAGGCATGCACCACCATTCCCAGTTATAAACACCAATTGGAATAAGTACTTTTGTGTATATGCATCATTTCATGCATATGTGCATCTTACAATAAATTTCCGGAAGCAGAAGTACTAAGATAACTGAGTTAAACATATACATTTGTAATTAAGTATATACAAATATATTAATGTTATTTTTGTTTTTCTCATTGTGTTTTAACTTAGTTGAAGCATTAGAAATCCAGAAAAATGAAGATTAAAACTTAACCCTTTCCCCTAAAAAATAAAAACTGAGCATAATTGTACAAATAGAAATTACTACTATTAAACCCTCTGTGGTTATCATCTCTAGACTTTTCTTACTACACGTGTAGAACTCAGAAATTTATCTTGCTGCAAAAAGCAGGGCCGAGAGCTATGCAAGAAAAAAAAAAACCTGGTTATCTCTTGAAGTTCTTATTTATCAAATTTTTGCTAAAGTAACCTTTAAATGCTAAGTTCATTTAGAATTTGAAAGATGATTTAGAAAAATAATGGTGAATGGGTCAAATGAATGAGAAAGTAAAAGATAGCATGTTCTTATTTTGAATTTCTTTTTAAGGCTCTAGATGTGAAAAAAAGAATGTTTAGTTGATCTCAGTTTTTATATGAATTGGTAGTTTTTAAAGCTAGTAAACAATTTTTCTTTCTTTGGCTTTAACTTCAAATATAAACCCTGATTATAAAGAGTGTATCTAGCTCTGCTGGAGGAGTGTTGCTAGACCAGATCTTCTTTTAAGTTCTTGGCTACTGTCAACATCATTTCATTATGTATACCTGGCACCAAGGCTAGAGTGTGGATTCTGCAGGCTCAGGAATTTCTCTTTGTTTTCATACTCCCATTGCCTAGCGTAGGATATGGCATAGCAAATAGAGAAAATATGTTGAATTAATGAAATAACTTGGTAATTTAGACATTCTTGGATTACTCTTCTGTGCCTGAATTGTTACTCTTGGCTAACAGTCTTGGAGTGGGAGCTATCTCATAACTATCTGTAGCAACATCCAGAGAACCTAATTCCCAGAGTTTTGTTTAGCAGTGAATTATGTTACATGCATCATAAATCATTGCTGACAATACATTTTGTTGGCGGGGGGCGGTGGCGGTAGGAGCAAGGTCTCACTATGTAGCTTAGACTGGCCTAGAGTTCAATATGTAGCTCAGGCTGGACTCTAACTCATAATCCTCTTGCCTCTACCTTCCTAATGATGGGAATATTACTGTGTACCACCACTCCTGGCCTGATGTCAATACATTCTTATAATGGACACCTAATTTTTTACTAATACTATGTGTCCTGTGCTAATGAATGGCTTTGTTCATTAATAAAGGATACTACCTCTTATCACCTGAGAAACAGTATCTTGGGAGTATTTCTTTCCAAACTTTACTCTCCAGTTGTTCCTTATTTGGAATTAACCTTTCCCCTCATCTTACATTGGTACTAGAAGTGATTTGAAGTGACTGAGATGGACTGCCACTGTGATGTGACAATACCAACTTTATATGCTGAAGCATCTCATTTTAAAAACGTATCATTTCTTTCAGGAGGAGGCAAAACAGATTCAGAATCTGCAGAAGGCAGGCACCCGTACAGACTCAAGGGATGATGAAATCTCTCCTCCTCCCCCCAACCCAGTAGTTAAGGGTCGACGGCGACGGGGTGCTATCAGCGCTGAAGTCTACACAGAGGAAGATGCTGCATCCTATGTTAGAAAGGTAGGTTTGATCTCTAGGCCAGGCGCCGCTGACCTAGATATCTGTACATTTGAGACATGTTTTGAGACTCACCTGGTAGATACCTAGCCTCCTTTTAATGAAAGTATGTAGTATTTTGAATTAAGACAGAAGTACTGTTCTTGGGCATCGGAGAACAGGTTTCTGTAATTGCATGCTGTCAGGAAATAACTAAAATAGTGATTAAACCAATGCATAATTGCAGTTCAGGGGTTGGTCATTTCTATGCTTTGGCAGTTGAAGAAGCAGGAAGTATACCTTTTTTTCTTGAATCATGGTGTTTCCAGTTTTTTGATACTGTATATTCATGTTTTGACTTTTAATCTTTTGTTCTAAAATCTTCATTATCCTGCTCTGCTCTTCCTCAGAGCCAGCTGGCCATTTTGAGTTATGCAGTTAGCCTTCAGGGGCAGCAGAATTCTAGACACTCGGGACCTAAGAAACTAATAGTACTACATGATCACAGTTTAAAAAATGACTAATTGTTATAAAATACTTAGTTTTGACTCAAAATGATAACCTTGGTCAAGGTGTTTTTGGTTTGTTAGTTACTAACTCGGAACCAGGAACTGTCCTTTAAATATAGGCCTGGCTGTAGGCAAGGAGATTAATTAGTCAATGTTTATACAGTACTTTGTGAATCAAAGATACTACAAGTGTGTTGTAGTGAAAATATTTAACACAAAGCAGTCTTGTTTAAATGCCAGTATGTGGCTTGACATTTAATTGAAATGCAAGGTGCAAACATGAAATATTTTTGGTTTATAGAATTACCTAGAATTATCATTTGACCTTCAATTCTTTTTTAGGTTATACCAAAAGATTATAAGACAATGGCTGCTTTAGCCAAAGCTATTGAAAAGAATGTGCTGTTTTCACATCTTGATGATAATGAGAGAAGGTAGGTTCAGGATCTTTTACAGTATTTTTTCAGTAAAGTCGTAGTCCCAGATTATTGTCATTGTTGCAAGTTTTTAAGGCTCTTAGTTGTTCACCAAGTGGCAGTCTGGCCCAGAAATCTGCGAGCTTTAATTCTAAGGTTAATCTATAGAGAAACCTGTGAAATCTAACAGTACCTCCCCCTTCTGTCTCTCTCTCTCTCTCAGTGATATTTTTGATGCTATGTTTCCAGTTTCCTTTATTGCTGGAGAGACAGTAATTCAGCAAGGTAAGAGCTGCTCTTTCTATCATATGCAGTATGGTTGTGGGAGAGACGGGAGACTGATGGAGGGTGGTTTTGGTTTTATTAGAATTTGTTTTCCTCTTGAATACTACCATTTCCTTCTGGTGTACTATTGAGTCTTCCTGCTTCTTCCTTTTTTCATTTTTAATTAAAAATTCTCAGATAAAAACACTTTCTGAAAGAGTTTAATATTTCTGGTACAATTTTTTAAATAATAGTTGTTAAAGGAAATGCCTGTATTTTTAGTTTAAATTTCAGAACAATATATATATCTCATGTCCACTTACTAGCAACTTATGAAATGAAAAATATAAACACTTATATTTTTCATTCTATATAGCCCATTCTCTGCCTCTTACAGATTCTTACCGTTTTTGCTGACATAGACTGTTGTGAACCTAATCTTTTGGATATCTCTTCCTTTTTTTCTTATTTATTCTTTTGACATTTTCTTGGGTCTTCAAAAACCAAATATTTTACCATTTTGTGGCAGTCTGATATTTGCTATTATTGTGTTATTTCTAATATTTCTGCAGTAGCAGTTAGCAGCTTTGTACATGTGACTTTTTAAAGTTTTTTTAAAGTATTAACATGAGATGACTAGAAAAAGTGATCAATTTCATGACTTGAAGAATGTTGCTGAATTTGTTTCTTCTTAAAGATTGTGTTCTGTCATAGCAACACTATAAAATGAGTTTACCATTTTATATTTGTTTAATTTGGAATATGACCCTAACTTTTCTGACTTTCTCTTAGGTGATGAAGGGGATAACTTCTACGTGATTGATCAAGGAGAGATGGATGTAAGATTTAATAATAGCAAAAATTATGTTGATAATCTTAAAAAATTAGTGTATTTTTATTCCTTCAAAGCTATAAGCATAGTGTTTGTACAAGTGTTATAACACTTTTGTTTGTACAAGTTATAACACTTGTACAAATTTGTCCTGTACTTTTATGACACAGAGACACTTTTTAAAGGTAATTTGTCTAGGCAGATAAACAGTTCACCACTCTTGCTGGCACAGTAATTAAGAAGTACATGCATGCTATGCAGTAACACAAATACAAGGGAGCATCTAGACCTAGCCATCAGCTGTAGAACATGATATAGCATTCTTCTTCTGTAAGTCTTGTTAACAGATGGAATGGTGATAAAAATAGCATCCATTTTGGAGGGTTATTAGGAAATTCAGTGACTTTATTTAAGTAAAATGCTTAGTACAGTGTCCAGCAGAGTACTCTGTAAATGTATGTCATTTGATACGTAATTTGGTATTAGTGCTTGGCTGACCTTTTTCTCTCACCAGCCTTGCAGAGTACCTTTTTTGTTTTAGATAATTGATCGTTTAACTCATTGTCAGAAGTCAACTATTTTGCTGTGTTCTGTAAACATTTGTATATACTTTTTTTTAAAAGACAAGATTTAAAGACATCTTTTTAAAAAAGATTTGAGAATTTTTAACACGTTTGTATATATTAGAGAAAAACACTTATTTGATGTCATTTGCATTTTAGGTCTATGTCAACAATGAGTGGGCAACTAGTGTTGGGGAAGGAGGGAGCTTTGGAGAACTTGCTTTGATTTATGGAACACCTAGAGCAGCCACTGTCAAAGCAAAGACAAATGTCAAACTGTGGGGTATTGACCGAGACAGCTATAGAAGAATCCTTATGGTAAGAGACAGTGGTTTTTTGGAGTGTGATTTAGAATTCTAATCTATGTAACTAATATTTAAATGATATCACCAAATTAAAATAAGAATATTTCTTTTAATAGTTGGCTCTTTTGCATTAGGCCAAGATTAACAGTATTCCTTATGCCATTTGAAATGTTGATAATAGAACAAAAAGTTGGTCAGATAACATGAGAAACAAGAATTGTTTTTTTTTTTTTTTTCCTTTTTCTTTTATTATTCATATGTGCATACAAGGCTTGGTTCATTTCTCCCCCAAGAATTGTTATGTATATGTAACAGTCATTTCATGTTTGGAAATCAATCCATTTGCCACTTGGTGCATGTTAGCTTACCTAATCTACCCACCACAGATCACCCCATAGGCTGGTTTTAAGTGCATAAAGTTATTTAAGGCTATTTGGAAGTAATCAGCTTCAGAAAGTGACTTACCAGTAATACATATGTCATATTTCCTTCTGTTAGAAGAATTAACAAAATAACCAACTCTTGGGAGGATACTGTGTTGATACATTTGGGCTTTTTGGGAACTTTGAGATGATTTTATGGAGTAGCTTTGGATGCTTAAGTCACTGCTAAAAGCATTGGCCATTCTGAATGGTTTTCTTAGATTCTTGAAGCGCGCATCTGGATATTTGAAAATATGCAGTGTGATATACTTTGATTTTTTTTCTATTTGTGATACATGTGTGTACTTTGAAAATGTACTGTATCGTGTATCTCCTGTGGGTAGCAAAATTCACGAATGCTCAAGTTCCTTATTTAAAATGGCATAATGTTCACATATAACTTACGCACATCCTCTGTGTACTTTAAATTATTTTAAAATACTTAATACAAACTAGACCCTATTTATTGTTCAGGAAATAATGACAGGAAAACAAGTGCCTACATGTTCAGGAGACACAGTTTTTCCTCCTGAATATTTTTAACTGTGGTTTGTTGAATCCTCAGATGTGTAATCTGCAAATATGGAGGGCAGACTGTGTGTATATGTATAGGTAGATACACATGCATATGTAGGCATACATGTTTTGGTTGGAGCTAAGGCAATTTACCATGTAAATTATGAAAGGTCAGTGTGTTTCCCAGTCTCTTCCCTTAGATGTAGTTAACAGACTTTGTAAATAAGACAACTTGGTCAATTTTGGGACTGTCTCTCATTTTAGGTTTGCAAGTGGCAGCAGTTTTATTTCCCTGTGTATGGGGTTGGGTTGGGGCTATCAGGAAGGATTCTGGGCTGGGAGTGTAGACAGCTACAGTCTATATGATTTAGTTGTTTTTTTGAGCGCTGATCTTTGCTTTTTTGACATTTCACTTCGTGGTGGAACTGTGTGCCTTCTTTGTCCCTGGTGTTCCTTTTAGGAGCATGTTAACAGAGCTTTTTTTTAGAATTGAGCAGGAGCTGACCATCTTCAGCATGAAGAAAAATGGTCACAAATCAATAAGCAGTAGCAGGTTTTGGCTTTTTTTTTTCCCTTTTTCCTTTTAGTTTATTTGGAACTTAGTATTTATTATTCCACAGCATCGTGCAATAATTACACAGTTTTGAGATATGACTTTTATTACTTTTTTGTTTACAGGGAAGCACGCTGAGAAAGCGAAAGATGTATGAAGAGTTCCTTAGTAAAGTGTCTATTTTAGGTGAGTTTTGGAAAATCACATGGAGAATTGTTAAGTTGAAGTGTTAGTGATACTTAGCAGAACTTAAGTATATTTCATCAAAAGTACTCTAGTTAACTCATTTATGCTTTTGTTTGCAACAGTAATGGAAAGCACATGGAATTTTTATTTGATAGTGTTGAATGTTTAACAAAGTTAAAAGTAATTTTAAAGTGTGTTGAATTTGCTAATATGTGACAAACCCCTTCATTAGAAAAGCTTTCTAAAAGTATATCTGCTGTTCATTTCTCCTAAAGAGACAGAAAAGCTGAAAGTGTACTCCTGATTGGACATTCAGTTACTCCTACTGTGACTTCCTTATCTGTTCAAACATTCATTGAGTTCATTGATTCTAGAAAGTATTACCACAAATGCATTTCCTCTGTAAAAAAGTTAGGTATCATTTGCTGGTGTCCTCTGAAAAGATGCTGGACTTACTGAAATTTGGAGTAAGACGGAATACTTGTTTTTTTTTTTTTAATGTAGACTGGGAGATGTTAATGAGTCTTTAGGAAGGCAAATAATGATTTTTATAAGGTGACAATTTTTTTTTGTTTTTTGTTTTTTACTGGAATTGGAGTTTTCCCTGCTTATTTGCCCCTTGAAATAGTTAAACTTGTTTACTATCTTGAATGTTGGTTTGTTTTGTCTTTGGGGAAAAAAAGGTTTGTTTTTTTAAGCTCTTGTTAGTTTCGTAAATGAATTCTACTGAGGATTTAAATGGGTAAGTTATTTCTTTCAACCTTTGGGAAAATACAAAATACGATTTCTTTTGTGCACTGTAATTGTAGGTTTGATATGCATTGATGGTAGTCTTCAGGAATAATTACATGATACATTTTCTTAATCTTGACTACTAACGCAAGGATCTAAGGGCCATGTGCAGTGGTGTGAGAATCCTCAGACTAGAAGTAATTGAAGAGAGGTGCCATTGCCATGTTTCATTCTTGACACTATTGCTAAGAGTGTTGAATGGTCATGGCTGTTTGGATGAATCCCTTTGCATGCTTTTGTTTTTGTTAAAAAATACTTAGCAACACCCAATTCTGTAGAGAAATTCCTTTTCTTTGTTTCTCTTTTTTTGCAGTACCAGGGCTTGAACTCAGGGCCTTCACCTTGAGCCATTCTTCCAGCCCTATTTTTACAAGGGGTTTTCGAGATAGAGTCTCACAAACTATTTGCTTTGAACTGTGATCCTCCTGATCTCTGCCTCCTGAGTAGCTGGGATTACAGGGGTGACCCACCAGCAGCTGGCTGAGAAATTCTCTTGACTCTTGTCTTTCAGAGTCTCTGGACAAGTGGGAACGTCTCACAGTAGCTGATGCACTGGAACCAGTCCAGTTTGAAGATGGGCAGAAGATTGTGGTTCAGGGAGAACCAGGGGATGAGTTCTTCATTATTTTAGAGGTAAAGAATTCTGCATTTAACTTTTCCCCCCCAGTACTGAGGGTTGAACTCAGGGCTTTGTGCTTACCAGGCAGGTGCTCTACTACTTGAGCCACACCTGAGTCCTTTTACTTTTAGTTTATTTTCAGATAGGATCTGGAGATAACTTTGCCCAGGCTGGCCTTGGACTGTGATCCTCTTGTCTCTGCCTCTTGAGTAACAGATTACAGATGTGCCCTGCCACAGCTGGCTGCATTTGATTATTTACAAAGTTGTACACCATCAGGGGGAAAAGAAATCTAATTCTGATGTGTAGCTTTAGTTTTTAAGAATAGCTGACAGTTTTATTTAAAAGTCTTTTACTTTAAAATGTGGTTGCTGGATTTTCTGCTCATCCACTGCAATTTTAAAGAGTTTGAGTCAGAATTCTTTTTTTTTTGGGGGGTGGTGGGGGCAGTGCTGGGGTTTGAACTTGGGGCCTTTCACTTGTTAGGCAGGTACTTTACCACTTGAGCCATGCCCCAAAACCCCTTACAGAATTCTGTAAGGGTCCTAGACATGAATATTAAAATCCTGAATTATCCCAACTAATTATTCTTTACCATGCAAGCCAAAAAACTACCATTTAGCAAGGATTCTGTTCTGTCCTTGTAAAAATGCAAGTTTTTGGGCTATTTGGCAAATAAGGATCAAAGGTAATTACTTAAGTTCTAAAAGTTACTATGTTTTATGTCCTGGAAATGTATAGCAGGTAATCTCATTTGCCAGGTAGATCCAAAGAGCAGATTCAGAGATTTAATTCTTTGGTTGTAGTGCAAAAGCAGTCATAGAAACATGAAAGAATGAGGGTGATTTTTATTTGCAAAACAGGCAGCAAACTTGGGTTTGGCCCTCTGTGTACAGTTTGCTGATCTGAGTCTGAACTCTTTTAAGTGCCTTAGCTTCATAAAAACCTTGCTCGCAGGGGATGCTGGTTAAATAGACATGAAAGCTTATGTGGTGACTAACTTTTCAGTCATCTCTTATCATATGAACACAGTGAGTTGAAATAACCACTTTTCCCCTCTTTGCAAGGTAGCTAAAGTTGCATACATATTGAAAATGGCACTCTGGGTTGGAAAGTATTTGTTTTAACTTTTTGGTGGTTTTTTATAGGGGACTGCTGCTGTGCTACAGCGCCGGTCAGAAAATGAAGAGTTTGTTGAAGTGGGAAGATTGGGGCCCTCTGATTATTTTGGTATGTTGAATTTCCTCACAATAAATACATAGTTTCTTTTAAGTTACCCCCTAGTAAGATTTAGTAGTCTTTCATAATTTTGTGCTTTCTTCTGGATTTATTTATTTTTTTTAGGTAGATTTCCACCATGTACTTGCAATACTCCTCCCTCAGCTTCCTGAGTGCTGGGATTACAGCCACGTATCACTACACCAGGGGAATTCTATTTTTTTAATCATAGTCTTTTTTGGTTCTCAGAGAAATAGTGTGAGATTTTGATTTTTACTCAGTTAATAGATGACTTACTGATTTTCTAATATCTGTTAGTTGGCAGTTTTTCTTTATATGCAAATGTAGTATAGCCTGTACCAGGTTGGAGAAATAAATCTTTTGTTTTCTTTCTCAGAGGTGCACCTTTTTAAGGAAGTGGTTTCCATAGAAGTTGGCCTGTTCTTAGCCTTCTTTTCCCTTTCCAGGTGAAATCGCACTGCTGATGAACCGTCCACGTGCTGCCACGGTGGTTGCGCGCGGTCCCTTGAAGTGTGTTAAGCTGGATCGACCTCGATTTGAGCGTGTCCTTGGCCCGTGCTCAGATATTCTCAAACGAAACATCCAGCAGTACAACAGTTTCGTGTCACTCTCTGTCTAAGTCTGCCTCCTGTGTCTGTGGCTCTCTTTCCTCCTTTCCCAGTCCATGCTACACTCATGCAGACTGCTTTGTTTTCCCTGTTTGCAGCACCAAGTGGCCACTGGCATCAAAGCTTCTTGTCTCTTTATATTAAAAGTTGCTTTTATTGCACCATTTTTAATTTGGAGCATTAACTGAATGCTTGTTACAAATAAATAGAAAGAGTTCTGTGGACTTTGCTGTTACTGCTTTTCTCTGTGCAGTGTTAGTGTTCAACCTGGGCAGTGAGTGCCATGCTTTTTGGTGAGGGTGGATCCCAGCACCAATGCATTACTGTTAATGGTGTAACAGTGCAAGATTTTTTGCAAGTGACAGATTTTTCCAGTTATAAACAAATGTAGACTGTGGCCATATATGCTGTATTTCTTTAGTAAGTAATTTCTCTTTAATCTCAAGGATTAGGAAAAATGGATATAGAAAAATTTTACTATAGTAGAAAGACATCTGCCTATAATTAAACTAGTTGTAAGGGTGAAAAATGCCTATTATTATTAATTATCAATGGATATGATTGGTTCAGGTTTTGTTTTTCCTCTTTTTAACATGTATTACCCCCTTTCACCCTCAGGCTTGTTTGCCTGGTTTTGTTTGTGTCTTGTTATTAGTGTTTCTTCTCCAGCTCTGAAAGCTTTTTGGTGTGGCTCTCTATACCTGCCTTTTAAGTTTGGAACCAGATCTTACACTGGAAATAATGAGTTATGATATAACTACATCTTCTTTGCTCACAGATTCCAATTAGACCTTTATTTATCCAGCTGGTGCCAAATACTGACCATCCGATGATGCATAGAGAATAAAAATTTGAGGTCTACACTCTTGATTGTCAACTTAGAGTGTTATGTCCTTCAGTTGACTCCAGAAGAATCAGCTGTGCTCAGTCAGCTCTGATTCCAGGGGATTGATGGAATAAGCATCCTATGGAGATAATGGAGGCAATGTTGCTAAAGGGAGGAAGGAGTTCAGCGTCAAGAATGTTACCCCATCAAGTTCACTGGGGTGAGGTTTGGGAAGAAGTTTTGTAGTTTGATTTAACCTTTTCTCCCTCCTTTTTATGTGAACTAGAATTTCTGGTGGGGGAGGAGAGGTAGGATGTGTCTGTGTTGTGTTCTAAAAGAAGGCCATCCTGCTTTCCTGTCTAACCTTTATTTCTCTGGCAAACTTTTTTTTTTGTTATAGTACTTGTGTTTTGAGTCTTAACTGTATTTCAGTATTTTCCAGCCTTATGTGTTACATTATTCCAATGATGCACCCAACAGCTTATTTTTATTATTATTTTTTAAACAAAAATCTCACAGTTCTTTAATGTAGGTACTTTTATTTTCATTGTGATTTTATATACAATGTAGGGTTTGGGAGTGATTGCAAGCATTTTTCCATCTGTGTGCAAGTGGTTCTGATTAATAATCCCCTCTTCTATCCTTTCCCAAATAATTTAAATTGGTCGTGGTAGTTTTTTTTTTTTTTTTTCACAGACTTGAAAAGCTTTTAGGTTGTTATTAACTTGGGAGTATAAATCTGGGAAAGAAGTTTTATTTTAGTGTGGGATAGAAAGCCACCTTGTTACAAATTTTTTAATTTCCATAGTGCTCTATAATAATAAGGGTTTTCTGGTCTATACTTATCTTTGTGTTTGGCTACCTTTTTATATTTAAAAAATTGAAAATAAAAACTATGTTCTTACTAGTTTAAAGCTTGATTTGATCTTTGTTAATGCCAAAAATGTACTTAAATGAACTCTGTAGAATGTCATAAATGCAGTTTCATATCTGTATATAATCCTGTTCATGTACATTTAGATACATAAACTGCTTTCTAGATGAGTTTAACTCAAATCATTTGGCTTGCTGTTTACTCCCTTTTGTAGTTTTCATCTTGGACATTTGAAGATAAGTCTGAATTTAAAAATTATCACATTTAAAGCTTTATCTTTGTGCAATTTAAGTATATGTGAGAAATCACAGCTGGCACACTTTGTCTTAGTTGATATTCAGGGCTTTAGGAGTTGTTATTTCTGGATTTGGTGAGTGAATTTATGAGGTCTGCTGTTGTAGACAGTATAGATGGCCAAAGGACCATTTTGTATTGTTTTCCTGATTACTAGTCTGATTATACTGTGTGTGCTAATATATGCTATTCTTTTTGTTATAGATTGTCTTAACAGTAGGTCAAGTAATAAAAAAAAGATTAAATAATTTAAATTCTTAAATGAATCAGTTTTTCTTCTCTTTCTCCTTTCCTTCTCTTTCTCTCTCCCTTCCCAAAAGTCTCCTACTCTAGTGGACAAGAATGAAAGGGAAAGTGAGTTATGGTATCAATGTTTTGAATTATGGTATCAGTGTTTTGATACCATAAAAAGTATAAATTAAATAAAATATAATTTAGTAATAAAAAGTATAAATAAAATAAAATTTAAAAAGTATAAATTAAAATAAAAAGTGAATTATGGTATCAGTGTTTTGAAAGAATAATGCGTTTATTTTTGATGCTATCCAGTCAGTTTGTCAAAGAGTGGATCTCAGAACCTTGCTAAATGGTAAATTACAATTTACCATTGTAAATGAAATGTAGTAGATTTACCTACGAAGTCATGGAAGGAAGAGCCAATCAAAAGTCAAAGATTTTCTTTTTATTGAGGACAGATTGGTTTTGTGACCTTGGAACTTTCCCAGACTTAATGGGGGTACATTATTTGTAGGTTAGCATAACTTTGATTTCAGTTTAAGATACACAGTTAGCTATTTAGGAATGCTTTTAATTGCATATAGCACTTGGCATATAAGCATTTCTGATGCTTATTCCTCAGGTTTCTGAGGGATGAGATGATTAATTGTACTCATTATTATATTGATGTTAATTTCTTCACATCCGAATAATATGTTGTGTGCTAGAAAATCCTTCCTTAACTGGTGCTGCTTTGTAGCATTTGTACCTTGTCCAGGTTCAGTAATCCCTTCCCCCAACAAAATCACAACAGAGTATAGCTGAAGAAAGTTTGCCTGGTGGTTCTCATTATAGTTTAATCTTTTCTCTAAAACAGTGGACTGTGTAGACTCATTTTTTTATTTGAATGCCTTGAGTGGTGACATTTTAAAACTGAAGTTGCATGGCATGAGCTCATTTAAATACTGCTTTATCTCCATTCACAAATAGTTGGACCCTTTCTGTACTTGTTAGGCCCTGGCAGTGTATTTTTAGATGGGTTGAAACAACATTGAGAAACAAAGGCTAGATAATCATTTAATTTGTCCCTGAAGGTGTCTCAAAATAGCTACCAGGAAAGGCTGTAGCCTTTACATAAAGGGGAATCTTTTGTAGCCTTGTGTACACATTCAGCTCAAATGTGTTTCTTGACATGAGTTCAGCTCTGTGACTGACCTCATCTTGACTCTACCTAAAACTAAAACACCAGCGAGTGTCTTTTTTTTTTTGGTGGAAGGAAGATCTGCCAACTTAAGTAGCTTTGTGGTCTTAAAAGCTGTCATTGGAGGGATTTTTTTTAAACCATCTTTGTGCATCTCAGATGAGCTACAGGTGTTGCTCATTGTTCATGGATTCTGTATTTGTCTAATTGGTAAAATATATTCATGACCGTCAAAGCACTACACTGCTCACAGTGCTTTTGCAGTCATTCAAGGACATGAATAGAACAGTGAAAAATTTGAGTCACCAAAGCACATTCTCCCAGCCAACGTTCAATAAGGGGACCCAGCCTTCCTGTTTCAGTTACCATATTGTGAAAAAGTAATTTTCCTGGTATTTTTAGTGGAATTTTTTTTTTCTTTTTTGTGTCTTTTGTTGATGAGTTCACTATTTAAAATGTCCCTAAGTATAGTGCTGATGTGCTGTCTAGTGTCCCTAAGTGCCAGAAGGCTGTGATGGATCTTACATACAAAGTATGTACAGTAGGCAAGCTTTGTTAAGGCAGAGTTGCAGTACTGTTCACTGTGAATGCAATACTGAGGAATCAACAATATAAAATAAGGCTTCTTTAAGACATAAACAAGATTGTGTGTTGATAGGTTGACAAAAATGTGATCAGAGACTCCCAGAAATCTAGCCCTGTATGTTCTCCATGAGCAGTGACTCAGTATTTTTCAATTCAGTATCTGGGATGACTTCATAGGACATAAAACTGCCACACGTAAGAGAACTGATTATATTTTGTAGTCTTCAGACTCAGATTGTTCTGATTTTTGAGAGGGCTATGACGAATTCCTGCAACCCCTTCTCTCCACCAATTCACATACATTACAGTTCCTTTCATCCTTTGTTTGCTGTCAGTAGTAACATGGAAAGTTTTCAGGAGAGCATTTCATGAGAAGTTGAGCAATGGTTCAGAACAAACAAGTTGGAGGAACTTGATATTCTTAGGATGGAATGTTTTGTTTTCTTGTGGGTTTTTTTTTTTGGTACTGGGGATTGAACCCACGGGCTTGTGCATTCTAGTCAAGTGCTCTAGCACTGAGCTATTCCCTCAGCCCTTTCATTTGTATTTTATTTGCCTGTGCTGGCCTTGAAGTCTTTCCTCCTGCCTCTGCCTCCCAAGCAGCTGGGAATTGCAGGTGTGCACCACCATGCCTGGCCTATTATCTAGCATTTTTGACAAAACATACTAATTTTGTTGATAGTCAAAAATAGTGAATGTTAAAAATAAGTGAATAATAAGGTATATTGATACCTAACATATGGTCAAATTCAGTTTTTCATTTTGTGAAGTCAAGGAAAATATTATTACAGACAGTAGTCGGTAATTAAACTAGTTTGCAAAGAAGCGGATGGAAGTGTAACTTGCCTTCCCGAACCCTTTTGTGCATGTGTGTATTGCTGGGGTTAGAACTCAGCCACTCGGCCAGCCCTTTTTGTTTTAGTTGTTTTTCAGATTGGGCCTTGCGGTTTTTGCCCTAGGCTGACCTCAGACCATAATCACCCTATCTCTGCCTCCCTAGTAGCTGGGATTGCAGGCATGTACCACCATACCTGGAACCAAATCTCTATTTTTTTTTTTTAATCTGCCTTTTGTAATAGTATTTCTGAGAAGTTACCACAGGACTGGTAGTAGGGATTATTGTGTTCATATTGGGCCAGTGACTGGGATGTAAGTACAAAAGGGTGAAGGTTGACTTGAACCAGTTTGAGAGTTAACCATTTGTACATTTTAAGTCTGCTTGAGGTATGCAAGATGTTTTATCTGGGCCAGGAATTATGCTTTACTTGTAGCTATAAGAAGGGTCTGGAGCAGAGCGAGTATACACTTGACGTCCTTTTATTGGACTTGTTACAGTTAAAACTGTCCTGGGGACAGGACTTGCAAACCTTCTGATCCTGACCATTATGCAGATTTCCCAGTACACTCAGATGATACAGTCTGTGGCCTGATGGAGCCAGTGCTTTCTGGGAAGATGGAGCCCCAGCATGGGACTCTGGAAGCAGTGATCTTCTATTGAGGGATAAAGATCCAAGCTCAGTGGATCCCACTTGATGTTTCAGAACATGGTGGCCTCTTCTCTGAGCCTATAGCTTGAACTCCAGTGCTACAGGTGGAGTGAGGAAGTAGCAGTCTCCACTCTGGAGTCCACTGCTGGCTCCAGGTGTGTGATCTGATACTTGACTCTTGTAGTCCTTAACTTGTTAGGTTAGGCTGGCCAGAAGCTGGGGCTGGTCGCTGTGCTGGGGCATCAGTGATGACACTGTGTTCTCCATGGGTGTCTATGCAGCCCTTCACTGTCTGGAGGATGATTTGCAGTCTGCGGTCCAGGGCCAGGAGGTGGGGCTCTGTGAGGACTGGGGTGAGCTGGTCTTCGAGTAGCGACTCCCGCATCACATCACTGAGTCTGTAGTCAGCCTGGGCCAGCAGCTGCAGGTGCAAAAGTGTTTTCTTTTTTATCCTAAAAAGATGGTCATAGAAACCAAATAAATAAATGTAAAGAAAATTTGCTTGTACTTGCCCTTTGCTTGCAAATGGCTGTTGCAGTTAATATTCTTAGAGCCTTCTCCAGTGTCTTAAGCAATTTTGATGAAAACCACATGAAAAGGGAATGAATAGAAGCCATTGCTCAGTTGCCTTTTGGCTAAGAGCCTACTATTCCATTTGAGCTCTAATACAATACCACCATGTGGTGCAGAGCTGTATGCATTTGTTAAAGGAATCAAAACTGAAGTGACACTTGTGGTTTTTCAAGAAGATTTAAAACTGATAGGAAAATCTTCCAGTAGGTGAAATGATGAAGCTGTCTGCTATCTCAAGAGTCAGCATTCCAATTGTTTCTTGCCAGTTATGTGTCTGTTTCTTCTGTTTCTAAAATCAGGGATGAGAGTTGGGTGCGACCATTGTGACTGTAGGGTTTTGATTTCTTTTTTATGGGAAAAATCTGACCTTGAGTCATGCAAGCAGTTGTCTGATTTTTTTTTTGACACTAAGTGGTTGCTTGCCCATCCTGTTGTGGAGGAGAGGAGGGAATTGAGAGAACACATGTTTAACCTAAGGATTTGATTAAGAATATTTGTGTTTCTCACTGTAAACAATGAGATGGTTGTGCTAGGTGTGAATTATGTATTTATATTTAGCTCTAGGTGCTATAACTGAGCAGATGGACAATTTCACAAGCCTGGTGAGATACGGAAGTAGCTTAAACATCCTTTAGAGAAGTTGTGGCCAGGTGAATGTCAATCTGACACGGCCTTATGGGACTTCAAACAGGATTTTGCTTAGATGGTAATCAAATAGTATTATTTAAGAGCTTATATGAGAGCCTGGCAAAGCAGAGGGATGATTAGTAATATCAAAGCCCACCAGGCTCCATAAAAGTGGGTGATTATCTGGGTGGTTAAAGATTCAAGTTGGCATTTGAAAGTTTTAAAAGATTAGCTCCTAATTCATTTTTTGCTGAAGGATGAGAAAGTGAGACCTTGCTGGGTAAAATTGGTAGCTGTAGTACGTAAGAATGAAGTTATTCACATCTTAACACCCACCCATCTCCTACAACTGTGAAATCCGATTAAGGCCTTCAGAGCTTGTTTGCAAGCAGGATGAAATGTCAGGGCTGTCACCTGCCCTCGTTACCCACCACATGAAAACTTACATGCAGCATTGGGAGAGAGGTGAGAGGATGGAGAGTTCATCATGGGAATGTCGTCCAAACCTAGGAAAAGGACAGGCTTCAGCACGCAGCATGTTTCTTGCTCCGATGGCGCTTTCTCTCTGCTCTACTTCAACCTTTTTTGAATCATTGCTTGGGGTTTTTACCGGGAACTGTGTCAGCTGCCTCTCCAGCCCTCTCAGCCAGGTCCTAGAAGCTTCTTGGTTTAAAACCAAGCAGTTCCTCCCTCCATCCCTCCCTCCTTCCTTCCCACCAGCCTGAGGATAAGCCTTGTTTCTGCCTCCAGGAGCATACCTACTAGTGAAAAATGGGCACCTCAGCCTACTTCACTAGAGGGCATAGAGTGCTCTTGGGCTGGAGGAGGCTTGCTACTAGTTAGCAGAGATCAAGAGAAGAAAGAGGGCTGGTGGAATGATTCAAGTGGTAAGGGTGCCTTCCTAGCAAGTGTGAAACCCTGAGTTCAAACCCCAGTACTGCCAAAAAAAACCAAAAACAAAAACATTTTATTTAAAAAAAGAAAAGTAGCAACTAGTGCAGGATGGCCTGTGGTGATCTCTAAGTTGCTGCACGAAGGAGCACAGGCTCAGACACTTACCCTCTGGCATTGTCGAGGTGAATAAGGAATCCATCCTCTCCAAATTTGGTGAACATTTCATAGTGGTGGCGGTCCATGTTTCCTATAAAGGAGGGGAGGGATCAGAGTTGAAGGTCAGCAGCTCCTAACCTGAGTTCTCATCAGGAATGGAGGCCTGTCAGCAGTCCATCTAGGAGTGTGTACATAGCATTTAGGGCTTTCACCCCTTCCTTAGCCCCAGTCCCTGGCCCAGGAATCTGATGAGTTGGGAATATGCCTTTGTGGCTCTTGTATATAATAATGTGAGTCTCAGCCCGGACACCCTTACTTTTCTAAAGGTGGTGACAGTGGGCCATCTGTCTGCTTTGATTAGATCTAAGAACATGTGGTGGCCACTTTTGTAACTGCTTTCCTCCTAACCTTTCCTGGTCCCTGGAAGGTAGAAATTCTGGGGCCTTGCCTTTGGCCCTCCCACTGCTACCTGCTTGTTCATTCTCACTTTTCTACCTGGTTTCCCCTCACTGGGTGATAGGAACATGCAACTTCAAATCTGATACCAACTCAGGCCTTGTGCAAAGGTGGTGTGCCTGCCTGACCAGTGATGACCCCCTTATTGTAGTTCTTTGATGAGAGGGAGCATATTAGCTTTGGTCTTCTTGGACCTCCACCACTCCTGAGGCTGTGGGAGGTGCAGGGCTATTCAGTCCTCATGATTCAGGCTATAACTTTTTGCCATGATCACAGGGATCTCAGAGCCCAGTTTGGCTAGGTGTCCTGAACACAGGGACCTACCTATCAGGAAGTCAAAGATGGCCATGTCAATGACGTTAAGCAGACGGTCACTGTTGTTGTATGGGTAGATCTGTTTCACTGTGTCACAGTAAAGGGGGTTGAGCTCCCACCTGAGGGTGAGAAGAAGTCCTGGGGCTGGAAAAGCCAAGATGGCAAGGTGTTGGGGGCCCTCCCCGCACCTTCCCACATTCCCACATCCCTTCTTCCCTTCCTCCCTTGGCCCTGCCCTGGGCTTGTGGCAGCTTTTCAGGAGGCCAGGAGGTATCTGGGTACCTTCAATGGGACCCTAGGCAAGGACACATGGGAAGGGAGACTGCAGAGTCCATATGGTGAGAAGGTTCTGAGTCCTTCCGCTCTTCTAATGGCTAGGGTACTACATGCCAGAGCAGGCAGGGAAACTGGCACCTGTCCTTCATCTGCTTCCTCTGTCACTCTCACCAGGCCTCTTAGGATCCTTCTGCACCCTTCCCCCCTTTGTGGGCTGTCCTCTGTCATTTCTGTCATATGCTCCTCTGTGTACAGTGCACTCCAGACCCCTCAGCCTTCACAAAGTCCCTTAGGATCTTTCATGTCCTACAGAAAGTCTTCCTATTGGGGTTGTGGGGTTTGACAATGGGCCTATTCACTCAGCGAATGCTGACTACCTGCTATGGGCCTGGAAGCTGCTAGGCCTTAGGGATACAGCCAGGAGATCCTTGGCCTCATGAGTCTTGCTCAGGGCAACGGTGTCCCACTGCTCTTGTATGCTTCTTTGCCATATGACACTGTGTTTTCGTAATCTGGCCACTTCTCTGTCCACCCCACTAGACTGGGGAGATCATGTGTCCTCAGTTCTGTGTCCCCTAGCACACAGTAGGCTCTCTATGATAGCAAACACAAGCTAAAGGCAGAGAACAGATCCAGGCCAGCTGGTCCCAAGTTCTGTGTCCCCTAGCACACAGTAGGCTATGATAGCAAACACAAGCTAAAGGCAGAGAACAGATCCAGGCCAGCTGGTCCCAAGTTCAATATAAAATGGGGTGGAAGAGGATTGAAGCAGCTCTGGGGTCCAACTGTGGCCAATTTCAAGGACTTGACTGCAGGACTATGGGCATGGCATTGTGGCCAGAGGGCCTACTCACTCCTCTTTTCCTGCCAGCGTGTAGGAGCGGATCCAGGGGTTGGGCACAGACAGCCTGGGGGCCAAGTTGAGGGATGGCAGGAATGCGGAGAGGGAGCCCTCCAGCAGGTGCGGGTTCCCACAGACAGCGTACTCAGTCTTGCACATATATGGACACTTGGCAAAGAAGCACACGTTGCTGGCTGGAGGGTGGTGGAGGAAAGAAAAGAGAGGGACATGGAGGCTTATCACCCTCCTGCCCCAAGAAGTCCCTTAGGATGAGAATGGGAAACCCTTTCCTACCACCTTAGGAAAAGCCAGAAGGAAACATTGCCATTTCCAGATGTAGGGAGGGCCTAGGGAATGCTACTCAACTGAGTGTCCAGTTTTCAAATGTCTCGGAGCATGGGATGCAGCCTTTTTGCCTCCTATCGTGTGACTAGAACATTCTTTGTTTCCTTGCTCGGGTAACCTCCAGTTCCAGGGAAGCAGCATTGCAGGTTCAGTGCCCACCCAGCTAGTCAGCATCTCACACCCAACCTTTCGTAGTCCACAGTTCATCTTGTGTCCGGCTCGAGCAGACCAGAGTGGGAGTGTATGATGACAAAATGCATGTGCAGGTGGTGGGGGTTCCAGTGCTGAATGACAGTGGAAACACTGCCTTACCATGGACTTAGGACCTATAATATGGCTCTGGCTAGTACTCTACCTGGAGAGACAAAGAAAACACTTTGCAGGATTTCATTCTTGGTGACCTCTAGAATTTCCTTGGTGACATTCACTAGCCTTCCCACTGTTGGCGGTACCCGTCGGAAGTCCAGAATCCTGAAAGAGAGGGAGCTCTGTTTGGATATGAGGTATGGCAACATCCCCTTAATAGGGGGCTGCAGAGGGCGTCTCTGGAACTGATGGTACCCACAGGGGTCTTGCAAAGCCCAGTCTGAAAGGGTGGAGAAGGAATTCTTATTCCACTGAGCTTCCTGGGCAAACCCTCCCACCATCTAAACTGTGTTTTTAGACAGTGTTAATCAGAGTGGGATGCACATAGGAGTTGCTGGGGATCTTGTTTGGATGCAGGTTTTGACACAGTGGATCTAGAGTGAGGCTGGGAGTCTGCATTTCTTGAAAACTCCAGGGTGGTGTTGGTGATGCGATGCACTGATCACACTTTAAGTAGCAATGACTGAGCAACAGGAGGGACCTGGAAGTCCAGGAGTGCACCTTCACCTTCTAACATCATCATCCTAAGACTTCTTGGGTAAAGGGGATCTGACGTCTTCTCGTTTTCAGATCAGGAAACTAGAACAAAGGATAATGTCATGCCCAAGGTGGCAATGTGAGCAGTGTGGCAGAGTTTGAAGGGAGGTGTTAGGTTTGAAGGCACCATCCTGAGTATAATATGATGAAAAGCCAGGAGGAACAAATGCTTGGAGGTCCCCCACTCCAACCTCAGGGTCTGTTCAGTGTCCCCTCTCAGGGGATTGGCCCTTGCAGCTGAGGCCATCTCCAGGGGGCCAGACTTACCTGTCCAGGTGGAAAGCTGCAATCTCAGCATTGTGTCTCTGAAAATCAATGAAATAGAAGAAGTCTGCAGGTGTCTCCTCGTCTCGCTGCTGTCTGGAAGGAAGGGAGGAATCACGCCCTGGACTCAGACTTCATGGGGAGCCTGAGAAATACGACCATCAAATATGCACTTTTCATAATGTGCTTAGCCAGCAGAATGACAAATCAGGAATGGGATGAGACGCTCTCGGCTAGGAGAAGACTTGTAAAGCAGGCTTCCTGCAAGACATTATCCCATAGGCACCACCAATACCAAGTTTCCTACTTTGGGGACAATGGCAGATTCTTTGAAAAGCCCAGCAGTTGTGAGGGAGGGAATACAGATATTTTTCTGCAGGTGTAGACAAAGGGCAGAGGAGTGATCAACAGAACCAGAGATAATGCTAACCAAAGGCTCAAGGATGAAGAACTTGGGAAAAGAAATTTCTAGAGAGGAGGTTTAGTACCAGTTGAAGTGAAGAACCTGAAAGGTCTGGGGTTTAGGACATTGGGAGAAACACCTGGGACCATCTGCTCAGAGAAACTCAGGTGGGTTATGAAAATGCACCCCACCAGAGAGTTGAGGGAGGCTGGTGTGGAGGATATTGATTTATAAACATTTAAAACTCACTAATGGATTCCTGAAAAGTGCCAGCCTGCCTGAGTGTGATGGGTGACTGGGTGTGAAGTTCAAGAATGTGCTTTGTAATTATTAAGGCATTGTGGGTTGACACCCAGCCTTCAGACTGACTTTGTCTTGATGCTAAGAAACACAAAAGAATGATGACCTTCCCAGAATTTTATAATCCACTGTGTGAACTGTTATGAAAACTGCAAAAACAATGTAAGTGTAAAGAGATAGAACTCAGAAAGTCAAAATAACCAGCTTCCATACCTGGAATGGTAATGTGCACTTTGCCAGAAAAACACAAGCTAGTCCTGAAAACCACAGTGAGTCGCAGGTGCTGCCAAAAGCAGAGATTCTATTTCAGAGGTGCAGCTGTGTGTCCAGAACAGCCCTCCATGTGTAGGCTGACCCACTTCTCAGTAGCAAAACTGAATCCTGCACCACAACAGTGCCTGTCTCCATTCCTGTTTTCATTCCAGAATTCCATCCATAAGAACACATAATCTCTCAGATATCCTTTGGGATTTTCTAAAACATCATTTCTTCACTTCTGTATGGTATATGATAGATTTTAAATTTGAAAATAGTTTTTATTTTACATCAATGCTTACATCTTAAGGCACTCATATACTTATTGCACAATGTATTGTAAATACTACATTCAAAAGTATCACTTTTATGTTTAGACTGTATATGAGCCTGAGATAAATTTCTATTTTTCAGTTTTGATAAGGGACACTTTTTGCTTTAAATTACTTATAGAAAAAAAATGCATGCTTTTTTTTTATAAAAAGAAATACATTTTAAATGATACTATAGCTGATTTTGGATTAAACTTTATAAAACATATGGCTTAAGAATAGGTGAGGTTGCTCTTATCACCGAATGGTGGGAACTGTTGCATTAAATTTTGGGGGGGAGAAGCTGGTTATTTTGAATAATTTCTGTATGTGTTTCTAATTGGGGTTTAGACGGCTTATGCTCCTTTATTTTCCTGGAAATGTCAATGCTGCAAATTCAAGTAGATTTTCCTTCCTGATACATGGAAAGTGAACGTGGGGCTCATCTGCTTACCATTAGCTTCCGGTTTTTAAAAATCAGAGGTGTCCTAATGTGTCATATAAGGCCTTTGCTCCAAGATTGCAATTTATGGACCTGGAGATTTGTGGTGAATTTGCAAATTTATCATGACATTTATGTTTCTCATTAATGTCTCGAGCAGCTACATGAGTGTTCCTTCCTTTGCCTCCCTCCGACCTGCACTTTCTTTTGAAAACGTATTAAGCATGCATGACTAACCATGACGATGATTTAATGTTACACCAGCTGGTAGCTCTGGTGTTCAGCTGTGCCAGTGTCACATGTCTGCCATGTTACCCATGCTAATTGCCAGGTGTGCTCACTGCAGTAGCTCTCATTTAAGAGGAATGTAACTACTCAGGAGGCTGAAGCAAGAGGATCCCTTAAACCCAAGAGTTGGAGGCCAGCCCGTGCAACGTAGCATGACTCCATTTCTGGAGCTGGAGATCATCATATTACATCAAGTAAGCCAGATTCAGAAAGACAAAGGTCTCACGTTGTCTCTCATATGTGGAAGACAGACCCAAGAGACAAACTTATACATGAATACAAACATGATCATATATACATAGATATATAGAATATGCCTGTAATAGTGGGACTATTTGGGGGGACTAGGGGTGGAGAGAGGGAAAAGGAGAATGGTAGAGTGTGAATAATATCAAAATACTCTGCATCTGTATAGGAAGATGACATAATGAAAGACACTGAAAGCTGTTGATTAATAGAGGGTAGAGGGGAAGGGGAAGGGAGAGTAATACGATTAATCTGATTAAAGTACAGTGTAGTCATGGGTGAAATGCCACGGTGAAACCCCTTCAAACAATGAATATACACTTTAATAACGAAGGACAGGAATGTAAAACAGGTCCTGTTAGGTGGGGGGTGGGTACTAGTGGGCAGGAGGGTAAATGAAGAGGGTGAAGGAGGGTGAATATGGTTGATGTGCTTTATATACTTGTATGGAAATAGAGCAATGAAATCTGATGAAATTACTTTAAGTTGGAGAGGGGAAGGGGATGAGGGAAAATGATGGAGGGGATAAATCCAACCAATGTACATTGTAAGCACATATGGAAATGTGACAGTGAAAGCCCTTATACAACTAATATTCTAATAAAAATGTTGAAAAATAAAAGAACATTATTGATTGATTTAGTGCTCTACATGACTGAATATGAGATTCCTTTTGAAGTTGTCCCTAGGAAAGGAAACTTTCTATATTCAAGTTCTTGTACAGTTTGTCAAATTTCTTTACTTGGTTGAGACAGATTCATTGACCTGGAATGATGTCATATGTGTTGACCTTTTTTTGCCTGATGGAACTGTTTAAAACAAGTTCTTGGTGGTGACAGGAGAGGGGAGTGGGGCAAGAATCTACTATTGGTTTAATATTGACCTGGAACTTGATTCCAGAGATGACCACCAATGTCAAAGATTTTTGGCAAGTGGAACCTGAGAGAGAAGGGGAAAGAGTTCTAAATTTACATTAATATAAGTAGACATTCAATTGTCTCCTATACATCTCTGACAAGTTATATATTTAAATTGAGCAAATACCTAGATTTTTGTATTTCCACATTGGACCAATGGTGGCTCTCCTTACATAGTAAGGTTCTCAAGTTTTCCTGGGCCCTAGAATCACCAGGGGTGTCCTCAGAGCAAGTCCATTGGACTCCATGAGAGTGGGACTTGGGTATCAGAGTTGTTTAAGGCTCCCCAAGGGACTCCAACATGCAGACGATCTACTCCAAACCTTTCCTTCAGAGAGTGCTTTTGTCTCTCAGGTCAGCTACTAAGGTTTCTATCAGTGCTCATTTCATTAGGGCCCCCACTAGAACCGGTGACAGGCCCATTCAATAGGCCTCTCTTTACTTGGCTGAAGGGATGGAATCGAAGTCAATCTTTGTGGACTCCACTGAAAGGCAGTACATTTTGGAGGAACATGTGACTTGGGTAATGAGATCTCCTCTTGGGCCCTGTATTAGGTAGCTTTCTTGTTGCTGTTATAGAATGCCTGACATAAAAAAACATAAAGATTGAAGGATTGATTTTGTTTCATGGTTTCAACTCATAGTCCTTGACTATGTTAATTCTGGACTCATTGTAAGGGAGAACATCATGGTGGTAGCAGCACATGGAGGAAGAGACTGCAAACTTAATGGTGGACAGGAACAGAGTGGGAGGCAGGAAGGAGCCAGAGCAAGATATGCCTTTCGGAAACATGTCGCCAGTGAACTACTTCCTACAACCGGCCCCACATTCTACAGCTCCACATGTTCCAATAGTCTATTCACATTTTGGATCCACCAATGGATTAAACTGTTCATTAGGTAAGAGCACTCATTAAATAGTTATCTCCAAATATACGCTCACAGACATACCCAGAGGTGTGCTTTACTAATCTCCTAGGTCTTTCTCAATCCAGTCAAGCTGACAATCAGGATTAACGACGACAGGGCCATTCTCTCTTAAGCATGCCAGCTCGAGGGGAAACATTGTACCGGGCTAAGGCACTGGGACTTTACTTCAGGAGATCCTGGCCTGTGGTCACAGATCCTTGGGGGACCAGAAACTCAGACACACTCCAAGCTCTGTCTATGGACTAGATACCTACCATTTCACCCATTTATATATACTATAAAGTTCAATGGTGTGCAAGCTACCATTGTTTTAAATAAAATATAAATTGATGTAAACATGCAATTGATTTCATAGTAGCCTTTCTTCATTGTCTAGTTTTTCAAAGTAAGTATTTGTAACGTAAAGGCATGTTAACTTTTTGATGTCAAGAAGAGGGTGCTAGCCCTGGAAGAAAGTGAGGATCTCCCATTATGATGGAGAGAGTGAGCTTAGCAGTCCATTTGCCTGTGTGAGAATCTTGGGTTCACTATTTATAGCTAGGAGTTTGGTGAGTTGGCCTCTTGAAGTTTCAATGTCTTTACCTTAAAGTGGACATAATAATAGCACTTGGCTCACAAGGTTGTTGATTATCCAAAGACATAATTTATGTACAGTGTGCGGTATAGATGCTAGCAAGGGCCTCTAAAGACTAGCTCTTACTATTTTTTTGGTCACTGTTTTTAATGGTCATTACCATCATCAAAAATAGTTACATATTTGGAGCGAAAGTCCAAATGGAGCCTCCAAATGAGTTGTGTGAAGATGTCAGGTCACTTTTATTACCTTTTGCTCAAAGCTCCCCCAGGGCTGCCACAATGGACATAGCACAGAAGAAGGCTTCACTTACCTCATGGGTTTGAACATGGCCTTCCCAAAGTCCGAGAATCTCAGCACCAGCTTCAGGTGGACCCCACTGGGCTTCACAACTGTGAAGGGTAGAATGGTGGTGTCTAAGCTCAAGGTGGGGGACTCTGTTCATCCCATAAACCCACCCCCTTTCTCTTATTTAATAACTGTAGTGGCTACGATTTGCTTTCTGAAGCCTGCAGGGCAAACTCCATGGTGTTGGGGTGTGGGGCGGGGTCCAGGGGCTCAATGTAGTGTTCTGCCAGTTTGGAAGAAGGGCAAATAGCACCAGGTCCCCCAGATCAATGCTACTGAAAATCCCAAAGAATGTTCTCCTAAGAAGGACCATGCCTTTCCTCTTTGTGTGTCAACTGCAGCTTTGTGGATTCCAATCATCTGTTATAGTAGCTTATCTATATCTCTTCCTATTCGAGGTCCTATACCTGGGACTAGGGTTTGGCAAATTTGTAAACCCAAGGTGCAATGAGTATGGTCCCCCGCCACCCACTGCTCCCAGTGCTGGGGTGGAGCCTGGGACCTTGCACATACTAAGCAAGCACTCTACCCCTGAGTTTCATTGCCAGCCCTTGGGTGTTTTTTGAGGCTCCCTATGCAGCCAAGATGGCCTTGAACTCATAGTCCTGGCTCTGCCTCCAAGTGCTGGGATTACAGATGTGCACTACCACACCTGGCAGGTTCTGTTTCTTAAGACATTGCTTCCTGGGCACTTCACTTGCTTCACTCTGTCCCAGCCCTGCCGTAAGCCCCATGATGGTTGCACAAAGTCTCACTCACTGTGTTCTGTAGGACGGCAAGGGGCAGGTACTTAAGTAAAGGCTGGGAAGCCTGGGGCAATATAAACTTTTACCACTGACACATCATGTCGCATGTAGACACTTTTTTTCTTTGTTTTTGAGAGAGGATCTCATTATGTAGCCCAAGCTGGCCTTGAACTCTTGATCCTCCTGCTTCTGCCTCCCGAGTGCTGGGATTATAGCTGTGTACCACCATGCACATGTAGAAATTTTTGACCCATGTTCAGCACATCTAGTCAATGAACAAGGCTACTCACAGCTGGAGGTAACGCGGAATCAGCTCACGGCACCTGCAGATGGAAGCTCTGCCGCCCTTATTCTCACTTTTTTTGATTTTACAAATCATTTACCCCAGTGGGTCTCAATCTTGGCTGCATCAGAATCATTCGGGGCATTTAAAAAATGCTGGCCTGGGCTTCCCCGTCTACAATTGAACCCAAACCCCTGAAGGTTCAGGAAACAGCATTTTCTCAAACTCCCCAAGTGATTCTAACATGTTGTCAGGTAAGGAACCACTGGCTTGTGCAGTTGCCTCTTAAATCTTAAATTGCACTTTAGTCGTTTGAGGATTTGTTAACATTCAAATTCTGATTCAGAAAACCAGAGTGGAGACTAAACTTGGTGTATCTAACAAGCTCCCCAGTGATGTCAGATGATGCTTTGTCCTGGACCTCATTTTGATATGTAGTATTCTATGCAGAGTTCCTCTCAAATGCCTTTGCTTTTTGTGAGTGGGTGGTGAGAAGTGTTGAGTTCTCGAAGATTAGGCAGGGGGAGCCCTCACTGGAGTGGATGGAGGGGTTCCCATGGCCATGACAGAGAGGAGACTGAATGGAGCTGAGGTCCAGTCACTTACTCTGGGTGCAGTCACAGGCCCCCAGCAAGGCTTTCTCGTCCTGACTGTAATCTGTGAAGAAGAACGGTAATGAAACTTTCCACCAGGCTCATGGAAGAGCTAACCACATAGGAGCCCTGAACTCTGGTTTAGAGCCTCCAGCAGTCAGTGATGTAGCCTGAGGATCTTAGCCTTGACCATCAGAAGGGGATTTCCCAGAGCCCAGGGAGTTACAGTCTCCCACCCTGCTCTATTCCAGGCCCCAGGCTCTATAGTCCTTCAGAGGATACTCAACCACTCCTGGTTGGGAGACCCAGTCTAGTTTTGTCTCTGCTAATAATTTCCTGTGTCACATGGACTGTCATAGTGCTTGAGGGCACAGAGCTGGGGTCAGTAGGCCTGTGTTTCGATCCCAGTGACAGCAATGGATGCTTGGCCAGGTTATTTAACTTTGTTTTCCTAGCTGTAAAATGGTAGCGATAATGTCCATGACATAAGGTCACTGTATAAAGGAAACACTCAGTACACAGTAGCAATTGCCTTTCTTTAAGCATATAGAACTCCTCCTTAGAGAACTGGGGGCATGGCTCAAATGGTAGAGTGCCTGCCCAGTAAGCATGAGTTTAAACCCAAGTATTGCCAGAGCACCTCCTTAGGCCTCCATTATGGGGTTGTAATGAGAGTAAAGTTATATGATGTCTTTCAAAATGAAAGTTGTTTTTTCTTATTAACCTACCTAATCATGTGTTAGTGACAACCCTTTAATGTTCCTCACTGGAGTCTTGCCTGAGATGGCCTATGCCAACCTCTCTGGGATTTCTCAGTTTGTTCTGCCTGTTCCCTGAATCTCACCAGCACTGATGGTAGGAAAGTGCCTCATGTCACGTAGGAGCTTGCTGACAACAGGGCTGGACCGGGAGTATAGCCCATGGCGGTTGATCCCCAGATGGAACTGGACCCAGCTGGCTTCTGGTTGGAGCTGCAGAGGGGGTTCCAGGGAAGTGAGGTTCAACTGTTCTCTGAACATCTTGTGTCGTCTGAAAGAGCCGGAAGATGGTTTTGTTTTAAATTATAGGGACAAGGATGCATAGACATGCCAAAGCAATGTGTCCAGATGCTCCATTCATTCTTTCATTCATTCAATCAGTGTACTGACACCTAATATGACAGGCTTTATGCTTTGCTTAGGATACCACGGGGAGAAAAACATCCCCTGGTTCCTCCGTGCCCTCAGAGAACTTACAATCTAGTGAGAGAAATAGGGGAAGGGTTGCATAATGCATACAGATGCAAATACACAAATACTGACCTACAAACCATGGCAAATCCTATGAAGGAAAACGTAGATTGCTAAGAGTAGTATTAGGGGATCTCAGGGAGAGATCCTGGAACCTTTTGTGCACTTTCCCATTAGAGGGCCCTTAAGTGGGGCTGGAAACTGTTAGATTAATCAAAATGTCATCAAGGAAAAGAAACATTAATTAGTCATTTCCTGATTATCTTTCTTGCTATCCTCTTCTGCAAGGAAAAAAGAAAAAAATAGAAAACAATGTTGTTGCCATATAGAATCTTAGAGTCAGTTTTGGAGACAGGATGTTTATCTATGAAATAAGAACAAAATAGAATAACCCCCATCTAAATAACACATTGGAGGCCACCACTTCAAGATGTTCATTCTAGGAGCACAAAAATATTCAGCCTACAACAACATGCATTTTAATTCTCCACTCCTAGATCATCTGGAGAGAACATTTACTTAGCACACAAACAATTGCTCTGAATAGCTATTGATTTTTGTTCTTTTATCAACGGGTGAAGATATTTCTCCTGGAAAAGACAGTTCTGTTTTCAGACAGTCAGCTACTCTTGACCAGAGTTTCTAGTTAAAGAGTTTCTAGTTCCTTTTTTGGAACCGTATATTAGAGTACTTCTTCACCAAGTTGGCAATGGAACCAAGAGTCACCTCTGAGATACCTGTCTATGCTTTCCCTACTTGTACCATAACTCCCAAATTGGAAGTCGAGAATCAAAGGAGCCACCAGTATCTTTTATTTTTATGAGGTTAATTTACCTAAGTGTTCAAGATACTCAGAGGAGGCAGTGACAAATTGTTCCTATCAGGCTTTGAGCTGTTAGGGATAGGTGACCCTGGTGATCTGGGACCCAGTTACCTGCCACTTTTTGCCCCAGTTCTTTGTGGCTTGTGTGTTACACACCATGTGATAGATTGTCCTTTCTACCTTCTGGATCCAGTCATTGCTCTGACACTACGCAAAGGGATTTGGCTTCAACATTCCAGCTTCACTTAGACTTCTCACTGAACTCACTCTGACCCAAGAGTCAGCCTTTCAGTAGCTGGACTTGGTTTCTTTGGGAATCAGAGTCCAGTAACTAGATTTCAACTTATTGAGGCAGGATGCAGATTTCCTGAGCGTTTGGTAATAAGGTTCTTGTACTGGTGTTGAATATCTGCCCCAGATCCTTTTTGGATCTTGTTTGTGACATTTAAATGCACTATCTATTTGGTCTTCTGTGAGTTGCCTTCCCACCCAGGGCTAACCAGACTACCTGATTACATAGGTTCCAACTCTAGAAGTTTGTCGTCTTATCAAGACCAGGTTTGTAAGTTTCCATTGAATTCCTAACCACAAGTCTGTTTCATTCATCTTGTTCCTTGTGTTCTATTTTCATTAGTGTCTATGACCCGGTGCTGTCCTTGGACCTAACATGATGGCACCTACATCCTGCCTATGCCTTTCTTCTCTTTCTCCTTGGCTTTAGCTCTTCTTTCCAGATCCTCACCCTTACCACCATTCCTAGAGAGACGGCCCCATTGACCCTGTATCTGTACACTTGCATACTCTGAGGAGTCGTTCTGGGACAACCGTTTCTTCTTCTCTTTCAGCCTGCCACTTCATATTTTCTGTTACTCAAACTTGATCCTGAAACTAGGCAACTGGAAAGAAAGACGTGGTGAAGCTGAGTTTCAAACTGTGACATTTGACATCATGGTTGGGAGGAAGCACAAGTATACCAGGTAGAGGAGACAAAAGCAGAGGATTTGGGCCAAAGAAAGGAAGTCATGGTATCATTGTTGACCTCAGGGTTGGAAAGAACCTAAATGACCATCTTACCCCACTTCCCTTCCTCCTCATGGTATTCCTACTGAAGAATTTTCTCTTCTGTACTGGATGGGCTCTAGTGAAGGGGGGCGTGCCACAGTCAGGCTAGCTGCCAGTCATCTGTCCAGCTCTGTTAGAAAGCACTTTCAAATACTCAGCCAAAAATCTTAATATAGATTCTATCAGTGAATTTTGATTTTACCCATGCTTTTGAAGTTAGGCAGAACAAATTTCTTTTTTATATTATGGCCTTTAATATTCAAAGATGGTTATCATGTGACCTTGGCATCTTCCCATCTTCAGGTTAAGTTTCTGCTTTCCCTTCATCACCCTTCACAAGCCAGAGATTTGAGTCAATTTGTGATCTTAGCTGTTGTAAGGGACTGTGTGTTCACACCTTCGCACTCAAATGATGAAATTCCACCCTCCAAAGTGATGATAATTACGAGCTTGGAGCTTTTGAGAGGTCAATAGCTCCTGAAGGCAGAGCCCTTGTGAATCAAATTGGAGACCCCACAGAGACCCCTTGCACCTTTTGTCATGTGGGGTTATAGCAAGAATTCAGCCACCTATGAACCAGAAAAAGGGACATTATTAGTCACCAAAAAATGCTGGTACCCTGATTTTGGAAGTCTTATAACTGTGAGAAATAAATTTCTCTGGTTTATGAGTCATCCAGTCTATGGAATTTGGTTACAGTAGCTCCAATGGATTAAGACGGTTTTGCTCATTCACTCCCTCCTATGCCTGACTTCTAGAATGAAATGCAATGCCTCAAGTGTGGATTTTCCAGAGCAGAGGAGGACAGGATACCCACCACTCTCAAAATGGACATTTTTTTTTTTTGGTCGTACTGGGGTTTGAACTCAAGGCCTTGCACTTGCTAGGCAAGCACTATACCGCTTGAGCCACACCTCCGGCCATTTTCCTTCTATTAATGTAACCAAAGATGGAATAAATTTTTGGGAAACCATAGCACATATCTCCCACAAAATCTGAGAGAGTTTATGGTATTCAGAAATCTAAAGATGACCTTCAAGATTCTATGACCTCACCCCCAGACCTGTGGCTATGATGAGTTCTCGCTCGCTGATTACGCTGTGTTCCCTGGCACTGTTGAACAGAGGAGATTATTCAGCTAAGTTGATCTAATCACTTAAGACCTTAAGAGCACAGGCCTTCTCTGGCTGGCAGCAGATGGAGAAGGCAGAGATATAACAAAGCATTAGCCAGATCTGACACGCTGTTGGCTTTGAAGATGAGGTAGGCCAAGTGCAAGGGCCAGAGAGCTTCAGCCAGGAGCTAAGAAAGCCTCCTGGCTGAGGGCCAGTAAGGAAATGGTGACTTTAGTCATCCTACAACTACAAGGAACTGACTTCTACCGACTGCAAGAAGAAGGCTGAGAGAGGAGCCCGAGCTCCAGACGAGAAAATTGACAATAGACACCTTGATTTTAGTCTTGTGAGAGCCTAGCAGAGAACAACTCATGCCGCTCTGGACTTCTGACCTACAGGAAACAAAACAAAACAAAACGGGGGTCGCTTTGGGTCTCTAAGTTTGTGGCAATTTAGACATAGTAGTAAAAAACTAATCTATATTCTGTTTACAACAAGGCTAAAAAGCCAAACAAGCATGTGTTTCTATTTGTTAAAAGAATTCACCCTATGTAATATTTTTCCTTTTTGTTTTTCTTCTCTCTCCTTCTTCCTCTCCTCCTCCTTCTTTTGCTCCCTCTTTTCCCATCCTTCTTCTCTCTCCCTCTCTCTCTCATTCTGACATGCTCTCACTATGTAGCGAAAACTGGCCTCAAACTCAGTATGTAGTCTAGGCTGGTTTTGAACTTGTGATCTTCCCACCTCAGCCTCCTGAGGATTGAGATTACAAGTGTGCACTAGCACACCCAGCCTAGAACTTTTTCCTTAAGTGTAGAAAACTGTTCATATAAGTTTTAGAGTATTATTTTGTCATTGAAGCAATTAGTCAGCTTTACATAGAGTTTATATTTTTGAGTTCTCCAGATTCACTTAGCAAAGGAAACACAGGTTGCAGAATTATCATGGGAACAGGGTTGACAGATTTAAATGCCAGGCAGGCAGCATCATTGAGAGAAGAATGCAGGTCGAAGGCAAAAAGGATGGGTGGGGAGTGTGTCAAACTAGAGCACACACTCTCCCTCTAAAGGGGAACAGCCGTTATCAAGTTTCAGCTCACAGCTGTCATGTCCTGACATTGTTCATGTATTCATCTGGACATGGATTCTATATTTTGGAGTTGAGTCTGTGTACAAAACAGTCTTTTTCTCATGAAACATTTTCCTGGGAGCTCATTTATTCTAAGTTTTTCAAAAGAAGCTCAAAGTCCAGATTTTTCATCAGGATTTGGTTGGACTCTCCTTCTAAAAAAAGTTTACTCAAATTAAAAACTATGCTGTGTGTGACTACATAGCTACAGAACCTCATAGCCGTATGTCTTCTCTGCCCTGTTACAGAGTGTGCTGTGAGTATTAAGACCCCTACCTACCACCCAGCTTGTAACTCTGGGGGAAGTGTATGAGCAGGAGACAAGACAAGGTGAGGAGGCACTCAATTATTTTAAGGCTTTGGTTTTCTAAGAGCAGAAGAAAGATAGCTGAGCCTTCTTCCTCAGGAGGGCCAGACTTCAGCTTGGGCTTGGGGAAGGGGACCAGAACCTCCACAGCCACTAAAAGTCAGTGACAGACCTTTGAATCCAGCTACATTCTGTTCATGCTGGAAAAGGAGCAATTTGTACTATTCTTAAAATTATTTAATTGTTTAAACTTCTTTGAACCTACCATTTCATGACCATCAGGGGAAAAGGGCAAATTGTTAATCAGGTCTGTAAGCCTCCAGCCAATTTTTCCTTGCTTTATTAACATTTATTCCTACTTTAA